ATTTCCGTTATTCTCCTACGCCGCGCACCCACGATAAGAAAACGTTTATTTATTGCTTAGTATAAAAGTATAATCGTCTATTCTAAATGTCCCTACTAACCTCTTCGAGAGCCGGCGGACTCACCTCGTTTGAGTGTCCCGACGATTGTCCCAACAGTTTATCCCCTCGCAAATACAGATTTGCTCAAGTTTGTACATTTCCAGCGTCGAGACCGTATAATCGTATCAATTACTTATCAGGTGTTTGTGCTTTTATTGCATTTGAAAATACATATATTTTATGATCTATAGCTTTATTTAGTTTTTTTTAAACCAACTGTGAATTGACAATGTTCTTTTTGCCAACCCATACTAAGACACTAATAGAAAAAAATTTAAGAAAATAAATAAATTGCCGTAGCCGCCAAGCTTTGCAAGTGAATTGGCGCTTCTAGTTTATTTTTTTTATAGAAGACTGGTTATCGAACACGCAGTCCACCTGTAAAATGGCAAAATGCCGATGCGTTGTCACCACTCAGAACTAAGATGGAATGTCTCGCTACCAACAAGAAACAGTGGTAGAGCCACGCGGCAGCTTTGGCTGTTGCACGGATGGGCCAGCTCGAACCGTTGAAGTACCACGACCTCTTAGAATACCAGCGTGAAGTAGAAGTTTTGCTTCTGCGTTTCACTTGGTTATATACAATGTGTCCCAGAAAGAATGGATAATCCTGGAGCGCCTAATAGTACAGATATCAGACGCTCAAATAAAAATACAAAAAAAATTATTTTAAGTGGCACCAAAAATATGAATTTTTTAATTGACCTTACTGTACTTTCATGAACACCACTGCTGCAAATTAATGAAATCGTTGCGTTTTTGGTGTTCTCTTATTCCTCACAGCCTATTCTATTAGAAATGCAGTAAAGAGTATGAGTATCTATTGTAATTTTTTGCAAAAAAGCTTCAATTTTTAGCATGAATTAAAAATAAATAATTTTGTGGCCTCCGCTCCGTGTACTTCAAGCCTATTTCAAGTTTGGAGGAGGCCTCGTAATATGGTAGTGGAATTTAAAAATAAAAGACTACCGCAGGAAGGTACCAGCATCCCTGGTAATGGAGAATCCCTCATTGAGCATCCACGCCCAAGACTTCCCTTCCCTTCCCATCAGCCCATCCCTTCTCTTCCTGAGTGTGGGTGCTCAGATTGCCCCGTATTATTTTGGCGGGGGAGGGGGGGGGCGAAAATCCTGATCACTGTCACTGCACTAACACTGCACGGGGATAAAACTATACGGGGATAAACTGGATAAAACCACGGTGACCCCTACCACGCTAACCGTAGACTTCTGCGACATCAGGGACTTCCCTCGAACCTTAACCCCCCCCCCACTACCATCTGGAGACGACCAAGCCAGCTTTGGGCCTTATATAGAATACTGTTCCCATCTTTGGGCCGGGGCTCCCCAGTGCCAGCTCCTTCGATTTGATCGCATCCAGCGCGAATCGTTAGCAACCGAGCGCTTTCTGATCGATTTGACTCACTAGCACTGCGAAGAGATACCGCATCTCTTTGCGAATTCTGCTGTATTTACCACGGGTATTGCTCATAGTATCGTATTTGCTCAGAGGAATTGTTCGGACTAATTCCACCCGCTCAATTTCACCATCGCACATCGCGACAGAACTCAAGATACCATCCTTGCCACCTGAATGATTGGCAGTCCACTACTGTGCGATTGACAAGAAATTTTCTTCCTCGCACGACTTTCTTGTGGAATCGACTTCCACCAGCGATTTGTACAGACTTAGGGACCTTCAAGAAAAGAGCCTACTCCTTTTTAAAAGGCCGGCATGGCATCGTCAATTCCAAGGTGTTGACCTATAAAATATCTTTAGTGTTGCAGTTGTTCATGGGCGGCGGTAGCCACTTACCATCAGGTGAGCCGCGAGCTCGTTTGACCGTTCTCATATAAAAAAATGGCCGGTTTTCGTCTTTCACCATACAAAACACACGAGCATTAAGTTGCTATTTTTACTTTATGCTATCGCATCCTCAATAAATACGTCTATAATAAATATTAAAAGCATTTTTTTGTTTTTATCGTATCTTAAACAATCATTTTGTTCATTCTTTTCCTATAAAGTCTTCGTTTGGAATTCCAAATGATTGATTCCAAATTCAAACATGGCGTACAGGTCTGCCAACATTGAATATTGATTGCACAAAAGGCGTTCAACGCCAAAGCGTATTTTCGATTCAAAATTATTCAGAAACGAACGATACCTTTTGATGGTGCAAAATATGTAAGTAGCTTAAATCGTCGCTCGTATTTCTAAGGTATTGTCATATCAGATTAAAGTTTTACCAATTGAATCTAGCTGAAATTTTAATTCACAATAAAAAATAAACTATAAGGAAGTGACGTTTTCATGTTAATAAACTTTGTAAAATTATTTACTCTTTACCTAAGACTAAATTATTTGATGAAATAAAACTTTTCTAATAATGCGTATGTAACGTGTTGATGGTAACAGTCCTTCTTTCCTTAATTACTTAATTTGTGTTGTGTAAAAAAAAATATTTCGGTTTCTGTGAAATCACCCTTACATTTGAAAACATCGCTTTCTCTTTTTCTCGAGTAGTTTAAAATTGCAGTGCACTCCTTTCACACAGAGGTACGGAAATTCAAATTTGGCGGGTTGGCTCGCCTTTCCGCCGTAGATTTTCATGTATAATGAGCCTTTTAAGGTTACAATCAACGAAAATCGTGAACTTGGGCGATGTGTTTGACTACAGCAAATAATATTCAACAATTCTTTATCAATTTGAATTTAGAATGCTTACGAATCTATTATCAAGAATTCCTTCGATAATATAGTTGAATATCTTATATTTTTTACTATTACAAACGAGTCAGTTAGTTCAAATGTATACTTTAAGGAGGGCTAGTAAACTTTCGCTCACCTGAAGTAGCTAGATGGGACCAAACTAAAGTTATGTGGTACACAATGTCATTGTAATTGAGAAGTTGCGTTTATAAAGTTTATAGGTTAATAAATTATGCAAATACGCAAAACAATGCTTCAATGGTTTGCTCCCTAAATTTCTGCACATTTTTTACTCTAGTTTTAATTCTTCTACTTTTATGAATATCCGTAGTTTAGTTTATTTATATATAATCTGATTAATGTAAAATATAACTAATAAATAAGTGATATTCATTCTGTAAATAAGGTGGGTGTACCATGGAAGGCCACTCTCACAAATAAACAGTTATTATTCGTTTATTTACTGGATAAATTAAACTAACAAATATTTAAGTAATACTTTGTTTTATTACGTAACATATACGTTCTTCCTTCATGGTTTGCAGGTGCTGACAATAGATATTTGCCGTAATCGTTTGACCAGATTTTAGAAAGCTATAACGACACCGGTGCTACTAAAGTCCACCAAACACTCACAAGTAACTTTTTCTGAGTCAATTTTGGTTTAGGGCAGGATTTGGCTGGGTCTCCAGGGTTCAGCCACTGCAACGAGCACTTCCGATTAACGTACAGTATCCACTTTTCATCACAAGTAATGATTCGATTTAAAATCCTTCATTTTTGTGTCGATTGAGCAAAGTAACACTGTTGAACACTGTAGTCGACGCGGGTTTGCAAGTACGATTCATTCAATTCATGAGGTACCTATCGTTCAAGTTTTTTACAATCCCGATTTGCTTCAAGTGGATTAATACAGTTTTATCACTTACCCCGAAGCCTGCAGTTATCTCTGAAGTTCTTTGTGATGGATCCGCTTCAAACAATAGCCTTTAATTCTTCATTTTCCACTTTGGTCTCCGGCCGTGCACGGGGTTGGTTCTGAAGGTCAAAATTTCCAGAACGAAAAGGTTGAAACCAAAAACGTACCGTGCTTTATTTTGCGACACCAGCGCCGTACACATCAATAATCCTTCGAGCTGTTTCTGCAGCACTGGTGCCACTCGTGGAACTCGTACTCGTAAATATACCGTTATTTCATGTTTTCCATTGTGCGGTAATAAGCGACGCCAAAAAAAATAATGAGGAAAAAACAAATGAATGACTGTTTTCAAAACTCAAATGTACGAGCTAAATGAATTTATAAATTTGAAATTGGAATTCTTAACCAAAGAGGAGATATTTCAGATCAAAGTGGTCAGTACGACAGAACGCTAATTTCATATGTAAGGACCCAATATTTAAAAATAAAATTAAAAGTAAAATAAAAATCAACACCTAATCATTTAATTATCATTTAATTTTTTTTAAGCCTCTCAAGTATCCGTTTTGCCTTATTAAGGGAGGTAAAACGGATATACTTCGAGGGTAAAATGAATGCTATGGATCCCTTAGCATTCGGAAACTAATCGCTACAAAGATCACAAAAATAGGAACCATGTCCCAAATATGACGAACAACTCTCATGCGTCCATTCGCGACATTGAGAACATTCAATCCAGTCTTCTACGGGGATTACAACTCCTTACGCACAGCACAATAATATTGTTTCTCTTCATTTCCTTTACCTCGTTTTATTTTTTCTGGACTCTTTTTCTTTAACTTCGAACAGTCTTTTTTCTTGCTGGTAGTTGACTTCTTTAATCCAGATACAGAAGCTCCAAGGTTTATTTTAAAACTGTTTTTTTTTTGTTTTTATAGGTGTATACTGTGTTTCATTGTTTTTGTAGGTGTGCTACTTAGTTTTTTAAACTGTTGCTGGGGCAATAGATGAATTTCTTTGAATATTTCAACACTGGATGCAGTAAAACAATGAATGATTTGTGGTATAGATAATGTACAAACGGGAGTGTGTGGTGCTGTCAGCGTAGATTGTATCTTTCCTGGAGTCTTCAACACAGTTGTTGTCGTGACTGAGGGAATAAACTCGTGTGTGTGTGTGCAGGTGTGCCAAAATGGGTGGTGTCGTCATAGCTGGTGGAGAAATTTCATCTGGTGGTATAGTGGACAGAATGGGTGGTGTTTCTGAACCATGTGGTATGGCGAATTGGTGAACGTATCTGCTGTCATAGGTGAAATAAGTAAGTAAAGTAGTATTTATTTATTTTCTCCCACATATTATCAGTACATTACAATAAACTAAGTAATAGTAAGCTTATACAGCTAAATAACAGCTATAAATACTAACTAAATAAGATCTAGGTGGTAGACTGGTGCCCAAACTAGGTTGCCCTGTGCTTTAGGATCACCAGGCCCCTCCGTCAACAGAAGTGATATTGCTGTAACTCTTAATAAAGATTACAACTACTTGTAAACAAAATTACATTAAAATAGACTTATTCAGTTTGGAGCAACTGTTAAATAACTCGCCCTGGATCCCTGGATACTGCTTTTGGAACTTATTCAACTCAATTTCAAAGGCCACCTTAAATGGTGCATAGACAGCAACATCTATCAAGCTGTAACTTATGAGATGTGTGTGGAGGAATGGACAAAAATATTACGTTATGATCTCTGGCATATTCTAAAGCAGGGTAATATTTACGAGACTCATGATTATCTAGAATTAATAAAGCCTTACATTCATTCGTAGGGCGCACATAAGTGACAAAAGCTATTAGCCACTGTAAGAAAATTGCTCCGCCTACCCATACACTATCTGACATGGTGCCTTCATTACCAGGACATGCCCCATCTAGTAGATGCGGGTGAAAACTTTTTCTTTTAAAAATAAAGTATCGGGGAGGTGCTGTGGCGCTACAGCAGCAGCTGACTGTCGTCCAAGTACCTCTCTCTAAGCTGCTCACCATGCCGTCCTGCTTCTTACCCAATACTGAAAGTACTTTTGGTGGTTTTGTAGACGAGGTCCTCACACCTTTCTCATCCACGTTAAATAGCATATTAAGAGAGATATGATGCTCTTCGACAATGGTCTCCAACAAATTATAAAAAACATGTCACAGTCGGTTTGTTAAAAGCTGAGAATATGGCTCCCGACGTCGGCTCTGGGCTTCTTAAAACAGTATCGGGATGACGTTTCAGAAATTTTTTAAGCCACTGTTTACCAGCAATATTATTCTTAAATGGAATTTGTATGTTTTGTCGCTTAGCATACTCACCAGCTAATTCCATAAATTCATTTCTAGACAGACCGTAAAACAGTGCATCATTTAGATGCACCTTAAATGTTTTTCTAAATTTTTTTCTTGTTCTTCATTAAATACAGGCTTAAACTTGCCGAGACTCTTTTCACTACTATTCGATTTTACATGAAGTTGCAACGTAGTATACGGTATTCCATATTTTTGAGATGCCCTTGTTATTGAGGATTTCGTTGTCTCTGCAATTGCTTTTTTCATTGTTTCTTCTGACCAAGAGGCCCTAGTAGTCTTCCGTATGTAGTTACTTATTAACCATCTGCAAGTAACAATAACACAAATTACATTTATTAATAAATAAAAATAAATTCAACTAATTCGTATTTAAGGTAGTACAAAACGAATCTCGATCCATTTTGCCCATCCCGTTTTGCCCTATATGCTCTTATTATAATAACCTAAACTTTGTTCCGCTTACAATTATCATTTCTTGTCAAAATTATCAATATAATAACATTACATGAATACCTTACAGCATCGACAGATTAATTTGTAATGAAAGCTTAATAGAATGTGATAAAATGATGCCACAACTTACCTTATTTTTTTTTTAATTTCGCGTAACAAAAATAATAACACAGCACTATTTCCACATACATTCCACGCGGCACAGCGCGAGTGTCTGAACCATAGATAAAGAGTAAGAGTGTATACCTATACCGATTACGGAAACTGAAATGAATCGGCGTTAGGTGTGAGCACTGAGTATGAGAATTATAACGTAGGTATAGAGAGTTATGAAAACGTCTATTTACTTTATAACGTATAGATAGTTATGAATAACACTCATAACTATCTATTTCTTGTAACGATTCGCAATACAACGCAAAGAGTTATGTATATTAACACCCATAACTGCCTATTTCTTGTAACGATCCGCAACCCATAGAGTACCTTTGAACCGGATCGCTACCGGCTTGCAACGGGCCCGATCGTGATATTGTAACATCATGCACTCACTCACATCACGTATAAAAACAAATATTATGCCGTAGCGATAAGAACAAAACTGTAGCGGGCTCCATGTTGAAACGTGTAGGTGAGCGAAGCAAAATTCGAGAAAAAAGTTTATTCCTTTCTTTTTCATATACATACTTGTATATCTATTTCAATATGGCAATGTGTCTCTAACAGTACGTTTGCACTTAGAAACAACCAACACGTATCGTTTTGAAACAAATCGCATAAAATAAATCACACAACATGATTTGTTGATGGTGGCGTTCGCACTCACAAAAACTGTGTAAAATTTTCAATAGATATTCAAACTTATCTTTCAACATGACAATATTTCTACAAATTTGTTTTCAAACATTTTGTTTCTGTAGTTATAAAGATATAATATAGTTAAAATATATAATGTACAATAAACTGTCAAACATATTTCACTACAACATGTTCTTTGACTATGCAAAAGCTTTTTGATACATTGACAGAAAACAGTGTTTAAAACATGTTTTATTTGTGAAAATCTCATCAGTGCAAAGTCACGGAACAAAGCACTTTAAACCTTGTGCGTTTATCATTAATTTCTACACAGTAATACGGTTTTATGTCATATGTAGAAAAATAACACTTGTTCCCTAAAATGTAAGAATTAAACTGCCCTGTCCTTTAGCTTTTGAAGCTAGCGATGGGCCGTTATGCGTTTTATAAATAACGTAACATTCAAAGTTCAAAATTTGAACTTGAGTGTTCATATTAATTGTGTCTCTGAGGAACAAGTGCAATAATAAATTTTGGGTGGAATATTATTACCATATTTCAAAACTTTGCTTGATTTGTTAATTCATAGTTTTTAATGTTAATTAATTTGTTAATAATAAAGTGTTAATAAAAGAAATACTTATCAAAAACGAACAAAAAGCTTTGAAAATACTTAGTATCTGTATATAGTTATGATATTAAATATTAAAACTCGAAATCTGATTTAGATACGATTCTCAGAAAACGCGATACGACCCAGGCCTACGTTACATGGAAAATAGATAGTTATGATTATGAATAGTTATGATAACGTTATCGGTTGCACCATAACGATAATGTTAAGTTATATATAAAACACATAACGACCCATCGCTAATCGGCGCACATCAAATGAGACTGCGTTATGAATTATGATGCACTATTTCTTTCTCTGCTTAGCATTACATTTCGGATAGAGAAAATATCCGTTTGCCGGCCTTAACCTTCTTGCTCTCCCTTCCCTATATATATTCACGAAAAAACTTTTTACAGTGCGGAAATAAATGGAAAGATCATTTACAATAAAAATATTAGTTTAGATATTAAGTTCTTGAACGGATGTAGCACTTGTATTTAGGAGGACATTGCTGCCCATTTCCTGGCCTGACCTGGCATTGCCACTTCAGTATAATGATCCGGGTAGATTTATCTGGGTGGTAAAACGGTGGGTTGAATGACAGTAAGTCGTAAATGCTTATAGACATTAAATCTGCTTAAGGAATCCGTCTATGTTGTTGTCACTCTCTTTAATATCGCCACTCGTGTTCTGGTCTGAAGAGTTATAGAAAGTCAATGTAGTTATTTATTACTAACATAGTTAAAGGTTGTGAGGCAATCGATCTTACTACTCAGAGGCTCAGACGAAATAAAAACTCTTTATTTCGTCTGAGCTCAGAGGTGACGACGCATTGGAAGCTTTAGTTCTTTAAAGTTAGCTACAGGCATCATTTTTTTATAGGTTAGGCTGACAAACGAGCACTAAGTTCACCTGATGGTAAGTGGTTGCTGTGACCCATAGACATTTACATTTATCCTCGATTGAGAATCAAAACGCAGATGCGTTGTCACCAGCGAGGTCTAGGATGTAATGCCTCGTTTCCAGTAAAAAAGGGTCTCTGGATGTCTACACTCACCATACGAAACACAGCAGTATCAAGCTACTATTTTGTAGTATTGTGTGAGAGCGTAGTCCTTCCCTGGTCGAGCCGACCCATTCATGCTGCAAACATTATATAGCTGCAGCGTGGCTCTACCACGTATAAATTATTATTAAAATAGGTCATCCTAGATGTGACACCTCGTAACTGAAAATTTGACTGTTTCTAGTTTGTGATGCAAAATCATTCACAAAGCAAGTCAGCAACGTTCTGGTGATAACTCGTAAATGGAATATGTTTATTTGACGAAAAAATCGACTCATAGTGACCTCTCGTAAGAGAGTAACGTAAACAGTTTTCTGGTGTGACCTCTTATGTGTAAAGTAATGACATCTGTGGTTCATGATGATAAACACTTCGTAAGGTGATACCTCGTAAGGTATTATAATAAGCAGCTATATGTTCTTTTCCTTCCATGTCCCTTGTTGATCGCTTGTGCTCTCTGAAACAAAGATTTTCCCACGGTATCTGTGATGGATGATGGTGAGATTCACCATTTAAATATCGGTTGGTATGAAGTATGAACTGTTACCTAAGTTTGTGATATTCTTTAAGCCTACCTAGAATTGTTTTATTTCATTTTCTATTTTGTTTAATTTTAAAATTAAATAAAATAGGAATTAAAATAAAATTATGTCGACATTTTTAAATGTATCTATTTATAGTTCAGGTAATATATTTTTCAAAAGCGCCATCTAGACACAACTTTTTAAGCATGGATAGTTCCTTATCTCTACCGTCATTTAGTTATTATTATTATTTTTGTATAGATGGCACTAGTAGTGCTGTGAGAGACTTTCGGCATTCAAATAGTTCTGTACTGAGGCAGAAGAGGACACTAGTGCGTATCATTTGTATTAGTACCAATTTCCACCTGCTCAAACAAATATAAACATGGCTAATAGATGGCGCTATTGAGTGATTAGGACGTCATCTCTTGAACTTTCTGATGACTTTTTTGTACACAATTTTCAACAATTTAAAAATTCAGAGTTCAATAGACACTAGAGGTCGCTATAG